GTAAACAATATAAATGTTTATTTTGTATTTTATCATATGAAACGTGACTAAAATATAATACAAAATCCTTCATCAGTTTTTCTTAAAACAATTTATAATATTCAAAAATGTATGAAGTTGCCCAATTTGCCCAACCATGACTTAAATATATAATTTATTAGTTTTGTATTACGCAGCGTAGCAACAATTTTTATTTSAAATGTTGAGCTTATATTATTTTACATTCACGATGTACCTATGCATTTATTTCGTGGATTTAACAAAATTTAATTAATTAAATATGACAAATATGTAGCCTTTATTTGAAATTCAATCACATATAATACATACTCACATTTATAATGATTAAAACTAACACTAAAATAATTAAGTTCGCATCATGTTTAAATATAGTTATTAAAGTACCTTGCTGATATAAATTATAAACTCAATTATTAGATACCTTTGTTCACTAAACTAAAATAATTTAAATTGGCATCAACAAAATGCATTTGAGATGAAAAACTCTCATCCCGGTATCTACAAATATCAAACGAAAAATTCCATCAAAACAACTCATCAACACTTAAAACCAAAAAAATACCACACTTCACCACCAATCATTAACAGAAACAGCAAAATACCTTCAAAAATCATTATCCAATACACATATAATACATCACACACTAAAAGATCCTTCGTCGCTTGATCATAAACCATTATAGAAATTTAAGAATATCAATAATACATACCTAGATACATTTTTTTTATATATACAATATAGACAATAGACATAATGTTTAGTTATTTTGTTTGAATTTAAAAAATATTGCTCATAAAGACTTATAAAGCTTCTCCACCACATAATTTATATTTAATATATTACTATTTACTATACACAAAGAAACTACAAATATTTAGATTGATTTTAAGTTACATATATACTCGTATATATATATATATGTATATATACCACAAACCTATTCATGCATCGTTCTTTCGTGAATCGGCATTGACTTATAATATTATAATCACTATATTATTTAATGGTACATAATGTGACCTATATATGTGATTATTTGTTAGTAATAACTAATTAAACCTTAACCTAYCCCTATCATATAACTAATAGAAAAGTAAATTTACTAATGAGTGAAAAAAATAAGTATAAAATCTAAGACAGTCTTCCTGTCAGCTGCCATAGGTATAACAGTWTTTTTTATCAATTGATCACATTGTACTAAACCTATCTAAAAATCATATGAAAATGTCTTAAATCATGAAGAAAAAAAAAATTTCTAATTAACATCTTTATTAAGACTAATTTACTCGTGTTTTTATAAAATTATATAAAGCTAAGGAAAAGTGTTACAAATAGTATGGTATAGTGTTCAACGAAATAAAAAACTCCCGCTAATACAGATTATTATCGACATGACTGCGTTAAACCTCATTTTACATATATAAATTAGCTTTTGACTTTATTATGTATTAAAGTACCTACCGACGGATATCTCAAAAACTATTAAAACAAATAAATAATATTGAATACCATCAGCGGTATCAACTTATTTAAAATATTTAAATCCRTTTAAGATTTTATTACTTTTAAATTTAACAGTACAAGTTCTAACACATACAACTAAACCAAACTATTTCTAACTAAAAAAATATATGACTTTATGTAGATACCTGAAAGTTCAATACCAAAAAAGTGTTTTCGACCGGTCAATAACAAGCAGGCAGTTGATAGTTACCTACTACTTACTACATATTATAGTTAACTATACGTCTATACTCTATACCTATCTGGTACATGCTATAAAACAAATGTCAACAACATAATTATAAAATCAATATCTACGCAAATTGATAGTGGGTTATAATGAAAACTAACGAAGCCAAACTATGTAAATACAAGTCTGTGACTAAACATATTATTATTCTAAAATTACAATTTTRCATTTCTATCATATCTCTTATCCTATTTTGTTTGATCTACCATACCTAACTCTTTATAAAATATTGACATCGCAATATATAGAATACATTTTTAATTTAAAAGATAAATAATGTTTTGTAAACTTTTGTAAATAATTTAATTAGGCAATCTGTATAATATTATTCAACTAAACATTATCTAGTGTTTTTTTAATTTTTTTTTTTTAATAGTATTAATATATTGATGTTTATTATAATGTTATTATGTCATAGATAATACTGACAAAACAAAATGGTGATTAAAATTATCATCATCGGAGCTGGAGCTGGTGGTACAGCAGCTGCTGCTAGACTTAGCAAAAAAGGATTTCAAGTAGAAATTTATGAAAAAAATGCATATAATGGAGGAAGATGTTCACTAATTTATCAAAATGGACATAGATTTGATCAAGGTCCATCATTGTATCTGATGCCTAAAATATTTGAGGAGACATTTGAAGATTTGGGAGAGGACATTAAAAATCACATAGAGTTATTGAAATGTCCATCTAATTACAGTGTACATTTTCACGATGGGGAAACATACGAACTTACCACAGATATATCAAAATTATCTCGTTCTATTGAAAAATACGAAGGTAGTGGTGAATTGACATTAACTAATTTTTTGAGCTATTTAAAGGAAACTCATGTACACTATCAAAGGAGCGTTAAAGTTGCACTAAAAACTGATTTCCAACATTGGTATGACTTTTTCAATCCAAAACATATACCAGACGTAATCCAACTACATTTATTGGACACTGTTTACAACAGAGTTTGTAAGTATTTCAAGAGCGACTACATGAGAAAGGCGTTTTCGTTCCAGACTATGTACTTAGGGTAAATAGAAAAATATTCACTAACATTATATTTTAAATAAAACTAAAATTGTTTTTATGTTTTTAGAATGTCACC